ACGGGAGCTACCACTCAACGTCAGCAAATGCAGCAACAGCTGCTGAACAGAGGGACAGAGGAGGTGCGTCACATAAGCATTGGGTCAGCGGATACCATTGAATCCACTGAAGTTGTCAGGGATCTAGGTGTGCAGATGCATGCATCTTTAAACCCTCGATGCAATGTGCGGCAGCTGCAGTGAACGCCAATAAAGCCGTATACCAACCCTGCCGAATGGTACCATCGAAGGAGGCTGATGTTCTCTTGCCACTGTATAAAGCCTTCGTGCAACCTTATCTGGAGTACTGTGTACAAATGTGCCCCTTTTCTCATAGGGGATAAATAACTGCTCGAGACAGTGCAAAGAAGGTTCACCAGGATGATCAGTGGACTGGAGGGTAAGTCATACAAAGAACGGCTGGCGGCCCTTGACGTATTCTTATTGCACCGCCCTCCCTTAAGGGGTGACTTGATTGAGATGTTCAAACAGCTCAAAGGACTGTCAGACAGGTCCTTGTCTACGCTCAATCACAACCTAACCCCAAAGGGCATTTAATGAAGCTGATGAAACCACGGGTCAACGGGAGTGCCAGGGCGCAGTTTTTATCCTACCGTGTGGTAAACGTATGGAACAAGTAACCATCTTCAGTAGTTGCAGCAAATACTGTTCTGCGATTCAAACGGAGACTAGACAACTGTCGAGACGAGGTGTTCCCCGAGTATGACGAGCACTAGTCTCAAAGCCACTACCCGTACTCACATTATACTGCTGTTTGTCTATTTAATCATCACCCCTGGTGGCCATACACCTCACGCAAATTTATTACAATACTTTACAGCCCAGGGAAGCTCTCATCGCAGAAGTAGCAGTCCACTGAAGTGCGGCGCCTGTCGAACGATTGAGACTGCCGATTCTCCAAGGGTGATCCTACTCTTCATCTGTTCTTTTGTGGGTATAACATCCAACACACAACTGCGGAACTACCTGACAGTCTTAGTAAACAGGGAATCATCACAAGTGCAAGAACCTGGACGTTTTGGGCCGAAGCCTAAAGTCCTGTGGCCTGACCTGCAGAAAAGAAGACAAATCCGGCACCGGGAATATTGGGCGCAAGCCTCGAACCCGAGTACTACTTCAAGACTTCAAGACCTGCGCTGACCTGAGCCAAAGTTCGTCCTGAGATACTGAACTGAACCGGTCAATCAAAGGAGTGTACACAAACTCAAGAGCACATCAACGAAGGAATTCTGGACGCTCGATTGGCTGTGGCATTTTTCGATCTTGCACACGCTGACCTGACCTGAATTGTATTTTGTTTATTCGTATCACCCAGCGTAACTTTTTTGTACTCGTTGAAGCGCCTCGATAAGGCGTGTTGCGGCTTTTCGCGACGAGTGGTCTCCGCAACAAAGGTAAATCAGCTTTACTTTACTACCAAATTGAAATTTTTATTATCCATGCATAACTGAGTTTCTTTTGTCATTTAGATTCAATTTAATTAATGGGTTTAGTGAAATATTGACGGTAGTCTTGGATTCCAGATTCGGGTCAGGTATCACAGGACGGAAAAGGCTTTCGCCAACCAAGCGTCCTGATTCTTGCTAAATTAGAAAAGTTTCTTCTCCCAAAGCTTCAAACTCGTTTCAGTCGCTGTCTTGCAACTGTTTTCCGGCAGGAAACTGGTTACAGTACGATATCTGTAAGGGAGATTGGTTGGGAAACAAGAACCACGTCAACTCTAAACGACCTCAGACCCCGCTGCTATACTACCTCTGGGTGTAGTTGGGTCCAAACCATACCTAACTGCTCCTTGAAGTCGACTGTAGTCGCACATTCCATCAGGTGCGGTGCTAGCTGATTCCATCTATCAACCACTCGGTTCGTGTAGAAGTTAAACCGCACACCGAGGCGAGCTCTTGGTTTTAAGAGCTTTAGACTGTGTCCCCTGGTGACCTCTACGGGCATTCGAGGGAATAAACTTTCGGCGCTTACGGCAGTGAATCCTTTCATTATCTTGAACGTTTCTAAGGTTTCTAAGGCGTCTTCTTTCCAGAGAAAAGAGGTCTAACGCTACAAGCCTTTCTTCATATGATTTGCCCCTCATGCCCGAGACCTTTGAAACCCTTGAACCTTCTCAATGCACTGAATGTCTTTCTGAGGGTAGTGCCCAGGCCTGGATACAGTATTCTAGTGGGGTCTCACCAGTGTCTTATACAGCGGGATGAAGACTTCTGCCTTTCGAGTGGTCCTTCGTTTGGGCTACTGGCGTTAGTTCGGTGGTTTCCGCCTCTGTGATTATTCTAATTGGACTGCCGTCAGTGTTCAATATGTGACACTTTGACGGGCTTAGGTCCAGGTCCCATATCTGAGTCCAACAGATAACCTTTGTTAGATCTTCGTGTAGTTGGTCTCGCGGGCCTGAGTTAACTAACTTTACGTCATCAGCAAACACGAAATTCGGGATGGACAAACCCCTAACTAAGTCAGCGACGTAGAGCAGGAAAAGCATCGGGCCTAGGACGGAGACCTGGGGCATCCCACTTGTGACCTTCCCCTCCGTCGATAGTGCCTCTCCTGCCCGAACCGTGAAGGTGCGCCTGTTCAGAAATACCCCTATCTATTTAA